ATTATTATTTTGCAAAAAATATTTCTTCCATAATATGTGGTGGTTGATTGTCTTTAGAAGTGTTACTGTTAGTTGCTTTTGACATGAGAGAGATGGTAAACGCCTGGCCTTTTGTATCATATCCAGTTTTAGATCTTTTTATGTTTATTTTGAATTATATCTATTAAATCATAACCATCATGGTTTGTGAAGGACTATGAACAGGTGAATAGTCTAGGAGTTGAGCCAGTAGCTCTGACAGTTGTTTTTATTACTGAAACTATATTACCAAGTATTGAGAACCTTAAAAATCTTACTTCCTTTAATCTCAGTAATATTACTTCTGGGATTCTAACCTGAGGAAATTTGGAAAAAGCTTTATGCCCAAAGATATTTATCACAGTACTATTTATAATAATGATTTTCAGAATGTGTTCCATGGGAGTGGTGGGTTGGGGCATTGGATCTCCTATCTATTTTCATTTGAGGGAACTGATAGCATGTCCATATCTGGTGGTACCAGGAAACTGACTTCTTGACTTAAGTGCACTTCATGTATTTCTAATAAGCTGACGGTGCAGAAAGTGAAATTTGTTCTGGCTTTTAAAGGCAAAATATAAATAAATTTTAGGTTTATGTTTTGTTGGGCTTTCTGAGAGCTTCCTCTTGTCAGAAAGTTTTCATGTCTAAAATGTTTGAAAATAACAGACATGTGAAATATTAGAATAATTAGAAATAATGTGAATACATGTCTAGTAACAGGAGGAAGGACAAGTAAATTGTTGTTTAGTTATAAAATATACAGTCATTGAACGTGTTTAATAAGAGCTTTCAGTAGCACTAGGGAACGATGTAAAACTATCTAGACAGTATGATTTCAAAAATTAAATGATACATATGCATGGAAAAAAGTATTTAATTGCTTGTTTCTGAATTGTGGGAATGAAGATAATGTGTTTTTTTTTTCTGCCTCATACTTTTCTAGTTTCCATATTGATCATAAGTTGTGCATGTGATTAGAAACAAATAATGGGGTTACATTCAGTTAACATTCCTTCCTTATAAGCCAATTAAGATCTTAACTTAAAAATTAGAATAGATACGGTGATGGGCATTAAGGAGGGCACTTCGTGTTACTACAACTGATGAATCACTAAATTCTACCCCTGAAACTAATAATACACTCTATTTTAACTAAATTGAATTTAAATAAAAAACTAAAAAAGAGAGAAGAAAGGAAAAAAATTAGAACAGATACAGAAAAAACTCCAAACAGAATATTGAACATAAATATAAAATAAATCCTAAGTACTGTGAATAAATTCCTATCTTACCTTGTTCCAAAAAGAATTTAATGAAGTGAAATGCTATACAAAAGCATAAATTAGGAAGAATGAAGGAAAATAGAAAAGCAAGAACATAAATAAAATTAACATAAAACATAGGAAGCAGAGTTCTAAATATCTGCTAACGGGTAGGTCAAAAAACCTAGTCACCATCATTGGTTACTCTCTTTCCCTCCTGCCCCACATCAATTCATTACAAGTCTCATTAGCTCTATCTCCAGCCAGATCGCTCCTTTTCTGTCCATCTCCTTTACTACCACCTTAGTGAATCCACTATCACTCCAACAGCAGTAGCCACTTAGATTGTCTCCCAGCTTCCACTGTTAACTGGAGTATTATAATAGTAATCCAGGCAGTAAAAAGAAGTAACATATAGATACAGGGAAACAATATAGAGTAGTGTTTAAGAGAGTGGATTTTGGAGCCACATGGAGCTTTCACTTTCAAGCTGTGTGACTTTGGGCACATTACTTAACCTCTCTTGTGTCTTTCTTTCCTCCTCTGTAAAATGGGGCTAATAAAATACTCAACTGGAATTTTGTAGATGATTCAATGAGTGAATGAATGTATTTGGAACCCTTAGAATGGTGCCTGTTATTTGTCATCATGGTCATCTATTTATATATATAACAAAAAGTGAATAAAAAAATTTTAATGTGATTTTTAATAAAAACATCTAAAAATGAAACTAAAAGGAAACTTTAATAGCTTATTAAGTAATTCATTCATGCTTCCTGCCAGCAGTCAGGATTATAAATAATTAAGGAGCATTAGAGGTATTCCCTTTAAAATCTGGCATAAAAGATGGTAACTGTTGCATTATTATTCGAGATATTTTTGCCAATTAAACAAGTCAAATTGAAGTAATCAAAATTGCATATTAGGAAGAAGTGAGATTATTGTATTTAGTGTGACTCTACCTAAAATAAAAAAGAACTAATCAAAACATTTATAACAGATTAATTTATAGTAGTCAGTTTATTTTTATTTTATTTTATTTGTATGCAATTTAAAGGATTAATGAAAAAAAGATACCTGTTTTACAACAGGAACAACAACAGCGAATTAGGAGTAAGCTTAGTGGAAGATATGTCTGAATATGAATAACAGTATAAAGCTTTTCAGTACAAAAAAGAATTTAAGTAAATAAGAACCATTAAAAATCAGTAAATATTTCTCATTTTTTCCCCCCACAGAGGTTAAATTATTTGCCCAGTTTGCTTATTTGCTCACTTACCTAGCTATTAAATGATAGAATTGCTATTTAAACCCAGGCCCTCTATGCTTTTAACATTACTAGGCTACCTCCCTTAACTTGGAAGCCGTGGAGTTGGGCTGTGAGCCCATTTTAAGGGGCCGACCTATCTATCAGTTAGTACCTTACAGCAGTCCCCCCTTATCTGTGGGGGATGCATTCCAAAATCCCCAGTGGATTCCTGAAACCAGAGATGATGCCAAACTCTGTGTATACTATGTTTTTTCCTATACGTATATATCTGTGATAAAGTTTAGTTTGTAAACTAGGCACAGTAAGAGATGAACAACAGCTAATGATAAAATAGAACAATTATAACGATATACTGTAATAAGAGGTAAATATGGTCTCTATCAAAATACTTACCTTGTGATGATGTGAGGTGATAAAATGCCTGTGTGACGAGGTGAAGGGAGGTGAATGACATAGGCATTGGTGCTACAGTGTGTTAGGCTACAATTGACCTTCTGAACTTGGTTGACAGTGGGTAATGAAACTGGAAAGCAAAACTATGTTAAGGGAGGACTACTGTATTATGTAATGTGGCTGCTGCTGACAAAATGGAAAATAACAATGGCTTAAACAAGATAGAAGTCTTTTCTTTCTATCACTACATCAAAAACTAATGATGTAATGTATGGTGATTAACATAACATAATAAAAAAAAAGGAAAAAAAACCATAAATGCAATCAACTATGGACCAGAACTAGTTTGTGGGTCCAGGGTACCACAGATTAGCTTGCTTCCATCCTTTTGTTCTGCCATCCTCAATAATGTGGGCTTCAAGATGTACGCTCAAACTGTAACCATGATTTTTGCATTTTTTTTTTTTTAAAGATTTTATTCATTTATTTGACAGAGACAGAGATAAGCGAGAGCAGGAACACAAGCAGGGGGAGTGGGAGAGGGAGAAGCAGGCCCCCTGCTGAGCCGGGAGCCCAACGCGGGACTCGATCCCAGGACCCTGGGATCATGACCTGAGCCGAAGGCAGTCGCCCAACCAACTGAGCCACCCAGGCGCCCGATTTTTGCATTTTTGTCAGCAGGAATGCAGAAGGGATAAAGAAGGCTACTGATTTTGAACTTAATCTTTTACCTGGGAAATATAATATTTACTTTAGGAAGCTAAGATTGTAGCTAAAATTCAGTGCTTCCATTAGAAAGGATGGATGATATGGAGTGGGGGGAGCCATTTAGCAACTCTAGTGAGCATAAATTTATATTCAGTGTTTGGTGCTTTCGGTTATAGTAATGGCAAATTATTTTTTAGAAAAAAATTTCAGCCATTGTGAATAGTTCTTTACTATTGTATGATATAGACTTACTTGATTTTATTTTGTTCACTGTAAATGTATTATAGCTACTGTTCTCCAAAGGAACAGAAGATGTAAAATTTGTGGGTACTAATGCAATCTTTAAACTCTTGGGATTGGTTACTATATTAGCATGCCTGAATTTCATTTGATTTTTTTTTTTAGTTTAGTTATTGTACTATTTTTTTCTTAAGAAATGAGTTGCAGTCTTTTTGGTTCATTTTGTTAAAGAAAGAATCCCTAAACTAGCCCCAAGGCTAGCCCTAAGATATAGTCAAGTTCAACTAGATATTTGTCAGGTTCATTTATACAGAGAATCATTGAAATACTCATAAGGGAAATGGGAGTTATAGAAATGGACTTTTTAAGGGGCGCCTGGTTGGCTCAGTCGTTAAGCGTCTGCCTTCGGCTCAGGTCATGATCCCAGGGTACTGGGATCGAGCCCCACATCGAGCCCCACATCGGGCTCCCTGCTCAGCAGGAAGCCTGCTTCTCCCTCCTCTCCCACTCCCCCTGTTTGTGTTCCCTGTCTCGCTGTGTCTCTCTCTGTCAAATAAATAAGTAAAATCTTTAAAAAAAAAAGGAAATGGACTTTTAAAAACTTTACAGGATTCCTTTTTTTATTATTAAAAATAATTTAAAAAATATATTTTTATTTTTTATTTTTTGCCTCAAAAAGTGACATTTATTCAAAGGAGAAAAGAAAAATGACAAGATGTCCATCCCTTGGCTCCCTTCCCTCCCCCCTCCTGCTCCTCTTTAGCCCACCCACCCCAAACCCTGAGTAGGGCTAGGTAGGAGGACAGCCACTCAGATAAGGTCAGCAACACTGAGGGGCATCTCCTCACTGGAGGTGTTGTAGAAGGTCTTGATGTCTCGAAGAGTCTTCTTGTCTTCTTCTGTCACCATGATAGCCTCACGCTTACAGCCAAATTGGCCACCACGACTGATTCTGTGGATATAGTTTTCCCTGTTGGTGGGAAGGTCATAGTTGACGACTAAAGAAACCTGCTGCACATCAGTGCTCTGGCTTAGGTCAAGAGAGAGGACAACTTCAGTGTGTGAATGAGAAAAGGACACAGTCTATCCAAAAGAATTTGAAGTATCTGTGTAGGCAGCCAAAGGAACACAAAGAAAGCAAACACCCCCTCTTCTCCAAAAACGTAAGGCATGCCAGATTTTATTCCAAGTTGCTACTTCCTGAAGAGGGGCGTGAGCAGGCCCTTTGGAGAGGGAATCATCTTGGATTTTATAGAAGGCTTCCTTAACAGAGAAAGTACATTTTATTTTTTAATTTTTTAAAAGATTTTATTTATTTGACAGACAGAAAGAGCAAGTGCACAAGTGGGGGAGCAGTGGGCAGAGAGAGAGGGAGAAGCAGGCTCCCCGCTGAGCAGGAAGCCCGATGCGGGGCTCGATCCCAGGGTGCTGGGATCATGACCTGACCCGAAGGCAGATGCTTAACGATTGAGCCACCCAGGCGTCCGAGAAAGTGTATTTTAAATGCTTCAATGTAGGGCACCTGGGTGGTTAAGTCGGTTGTGCTTCTGCCTTCGGCTCAGGTCATGATCCCGGAGTCCAGGGATCCAGCCCTGCAGTGGGCTCCCTGCTCAGTGGGGAGTCTGCTTCTCCCTCTGACCCTCACACACACTCTCTTTCTCAAATAAATAAATAAAATCTTAAAAAAAAAAAAGAAATGCTTCAATTTAGGGATATATGCTTCTTCAGTGAAGCAAGTTATACCTGTAAACAAAATTAGCAATTTTTCCTCAGTTGTGTATGTGTGTTTTTAAAGTGGGGAGGGGCAGAGGGAGAGGGAGAAGCCGACTCTGCTGAGCAGGGAGCTGGATGTGGGACTCGATCCCAGGACCGTGGCATCACAACCTGAGTCGAAGGCAGATGCTTAACCAACTGAGTCACCCAGGCTCCCCTCCTCAGTTGTGTTTATGATTATCATTTTTTTAAAATAAATTTTTCTGATTATATTTAAATATATTTCCCTCTTCTGTTGCTTTCCTTCTGGTATTTCTTTCATTGTTTTTGTTTTTTAAATTTATTTT